GCTCCCGGCAGGGACGAAGGCCCGAGCGGCCTCTCGGCCCTGGCCGCGCCGGGAAGACCGGCGACCCCGGCGGACGCGAGCGGAGCGACCCAGGCCTCTCTACGGAGGCCCCTCGGCGGGCCACACCGACCCTAAACGCCCCCTCTCTCTTCCCAGTCATCCCCTTTAAGCAGAACGCACTAGAGGCGGGACCGTCCTACAACCAAGAAGGAGCAAAAGCTTCCGGGCGCGCGCAGCCAGCTACAGCAGGGAGGGCGGCGCGTTGACGTCACTTCCGCTTCCCTGGCGGGCCGAGCGCGGTTCCGGAACTGGATCCTCCAGTCACGTGACACTCTCCAGGTGGAGAAATTCTACTCTCCTCCCGCCCAGGTGCCGCCATTGCAAACAGACTCGAGGGCAAGACGGAAGTTAAAACAAGGCCTCGGGCGGGGCTACGGGCAGGGGGCGGGGCCAATGTGTTTTGCATTTGGTACCCGTAACTCTTTTGCTACGGGAATGTCAACATTTAGTCCTGTCGTTTGCAGCAACATGGAGAAGCCTGGAAGACGGTATGTTACGTGAAATAAGTCAGGCACAGAAAGATAAATACCGCATGTTCTCACTCGTAGGTGGGAGCTAAAAAACAAGTTGAAATGGTTCAAGTGGGCCCGCCGCGGCCGCCTCTCCTGCAGCAACAGCAGCAGCAGCTGATCCTCCCCGGCGACCGCCCCCCGCGGGTCCCTCCCAGGCTGCTGGAGCGACAGAGGTAGAGGGAGGACACAGAGCCGCGCCGCCCGCACCGTAGACCCTTGCCTCACCCGGCTGGCTCTTCACCCTCTGGGGGGAACGTGGATACAGAAGCAAGTGACAAAGTGCATGGAAGTGGAATACTTCGACCCTTTGCAAGTCTGTTGACTCTACAGTCTTCCTGCACAGCCAAAGTAGCTAACGTCGTAGCAGAAGTAGCCAGAAATGAATTTATGCGAATTCATGTTTGGATGATGGATTGATTTCACCACTGGTGCAGCTGCTAAATAGCAAAAACCAGGAAGTGCTGCTTCAAACGGGCAGGGCTCTAGGAAACGTGTTACCATAGCCATCTGCACTCGCTGTAGTTTCCAGGGGTGTGACCTGAAGAAATTGGAACCACGGAAATTGAAATGTACAGTCCCTTCAAGTTCAACTTATCAATGTGGGTGTTATTGCCATCTTAGTGAAATTACTGGGCATCCACTGCCAAAATGCAGCTCTTACAGAAATGTATCTTGTTGAATTTGGTAATTTAGCAGAATTTGAGTCAAGTAAACAACAGTTTGCCAGTACAAGCCTTGCTGAAGAACTGGTAAAACTCTTCAAGACACAAATAGAACATGAGAGAGGAATGATTCTTGTTCTTGCTCCACTGGCAGAAAATGATGCTATTAAACTGCAGCTGGTTGGGCCAGCCCGTGGCTCACTCGGGAGAGTGTGGTGCTGATAACATCGAGCCCACGGGTTCGGATCCCATATAGGGATGGCCGGTTCGCTCACTGGGTGAGCGTGGTGCTGACAACACCAAGTCAAGGGTTAAGATCCCCTCACTGGTCATCTTTAAAAAACAAAACAACAACAAAAAAAACCTTTTCTACCAGCCCCTGTCCACGTTCCTAGAGCCTTTACAGTGATTCTTCCATATTGACAATTTTGCCAGTCCATGAAATCATCTATCCATTCCATTCAATCAATCCCATCTGTAGGCCTTTATTTACAACTATATTCCTTTTCATTCATCTGGACACGATGCTAAACTCTTAGCAGTTGATTCCTTTGCATTTTTAATGTACTAATATTTTCTCTTATCCTTGAATTTTTTTCATCTTCAAATACGTATTTTTGTTTTTATTTTCCTGATCTTACCATACAGGCTAGACCACCTATTATTCTACATTGTAAAATAGCACTGATACCAGGCATTCTCCCTAGGTTAATCCAGAAATGAAACATAGTAAAAAAAAAAAAAAAAAGTAAGAAAAATAAATGCAACCTCATTTCAATAAAAATATCAACAAATGTTTTAAGGGGTTAGGCAAACAGATACGCTCATACGTATCATACGTATCTGGTTCATACATACCAACGTTCATACAGAAGAACAACTGATGATCCATAAAACACTGAGAAATCAAAGTGATGATGCTCTGAGGACGTTAAAAGATATTGTAAAGCCTCTATCTATAAAACTGTGGTATCAGCACTTGAACAGGAAACAGACAAACGAAATAATATAGAATATCTAGAAATATATCTGAATCCCCTCATTGGTCAGCCACCAAAAAAGAAAAGAAAAGAAATACACTGAAGAACATATCAAAACATAATTCAAGGAGGTCGTAGTTTGGGTCACTGAGGCTAAAGGGGAATTTTTTTCTTTTTTTAAAGATGACCAGTAAGGGGATCTTAACCCTTGACTTGGTGTTGTCAGCACCACGCTCTCCCAGTTGAGCTAACCGGCCATCCCTATATAGGGATCCGAACCTGTGGCCTCGGTGTTATCAGAACCACACTCTCCCGAGTGAGCCACGGGCCGGCCCTAAAGGGGAATTTTTAATGAAAAGTATCCCCAAAAACAGGTTAGCCATATGGGATAAGATGAAGTTCCATCTATACCTCCACGATTTCCACAAAAAAACTTCAAATGGACCAGGGATGTAAATGTGAAAATAGAAACCATACACTAAGAAGATACTTCAAAACGTTCATGGAAAAAACAAAAACAAAAAAAACCTCAAAAAGTTCATGGAAAGGGGCCGGCCTGTGGCTCACTTGGGAGAGTGTGGTACGGATAACACCAAGGCCATGGGTTCGGATCCTATATAGGGATGGCCGGTTCGCTCACTGGCTGAGCGTGGTGCTGACAACACCAAGCCAAGGGTTAAGATCCCCTTACCGGTCATCTTTAAAAAAAAAAGAAAGAAAAGTTCATGGAAAGATTCATATTATCTTTTCATTCTATTTCTCCACAAACTTCTTAAAGTACCCTCTGATATCGGTGTTCAAGAGACTTCTCGGCTGATCAAGGAAAAAGATGTGACCACGAGGGGGCAGTATCACACAAAAGCTGCACTTTGACAGGTTTTGACTGGTGTGCACGTGGGCTAGTCCCTAGCAGCTTGTAATAGCCGGAGGCTGTGGCATGGGGGTCTCTACTAAGAAATGGTGGAGGGGAAGAGATCTCCCAGAGGAAAGGGGGATCAGAGAGGGGCCCTGTGTTACTAGGAGATGCTGCTCAGCAGCCTGGCAAGGAATCTTCGGGTCAGAAAGCTCTGAAGGAGAGCAGGTGTTTGGGGTGTTTATAGCCCCAAGGTATAGCTTATCTATGGCTACCAGATATTGGGCACAATTTCATGGAGTATTCAAATCAGACACACTCCAAATGGCTAAAAACATTCTTGTTTGGGCTGTGTCCTAAATACTCGGAGGTGTCAAATTTTGAGTTTGCCAATGATGTGTTACTGTGGAAAATGGCACTATGAATACTGGTGTACAAATATCCCACTGAGTCCCTGATTCAGTTCTTCTGGACATATACTCAGAATATGAATTGCTGAATCATATGGTAATTCTCTTTAATATCTGAGTAAGCACCATACTGTTTTCCCCAGTGACTGAACCATTTTTACATTACCAACAGTAATGCACAAGGTTCTAATTTTTCCACATCCCCTCATCAACACTTGTATTTTCTGGGTTTTTTGGGGGGGAGGGGGTTAATACCCATCCTAATATGGATGAAGTGATATCTCGTTTTGGTTTTGATTTTTTTTTTTATTTTGTCAATACACAATGTGGTTGATTATTGTGGCCAGTTACTGAAACCTCCCTCCCGCCTCCCTCTCCCCTTCCCCTCCCAACAACTTCATACCTGTTCGCTTGTTGTATCAACTTGAAAGAATTTTAATTGTTGTGTCTTCTTCCCTCCCCCCCCCCCCCAGTTTATTTGTGTATTTACTTATTTTTAGCTCCCACAAATAAGTGAGAACATGTGATATTTCTCTTTCTCTGCCTGACTC